TGGCGTGGCTGCTGCTGGCACGGGCGCCCGGCGCCGCGGGGACCCCAAGCAGTCCGCGGAGGCCGCGCAGCTACCCACACCTGGAGGGCGACGTGCGCTGGCGGCGCCTCCTGTCCTCCACCCACTTCTTCCTGCGCGTGGACCCCGGCGGCCGCGTGCAGGGCACCCGCTGGCGCCACGGCGCCGACAGTGAGTTCGGGGAGGCGGTGCGGGGTAGACAGGCCGGCAGGAAGGACAGGGTCGGCGTCAGGAGTAAGGACGAGCCAGGTCCTCTGTCCCGTGAGGGTGTGTGGTGTCAGCCAAGTCACTCCCCGGCGGGGGCCTCAGTTTCCTCAACCGTGAAGCGGGTCCAGCGCACGCGCTGGGAGGGTTGCACAGGTGAGGTAGGGGTCCCAGAGGAAGCTCCCCCGCGCTGGCCTGGCTCCGCAGCAGAGAAAGGTCTTTGCAGAATAGCTGAGGGGCTGAGTAGCTGAGGTCACTGGGTCCACTTACAGAGGGGAGGAGGCGACCCCAGGAGCCAGCTACATAAGGAAGTGGAAGCAGAGCTAGGGTCTGAACCCTGGACTCCCCACACTGCAAATCCAAACCCAGAACCCGCCCGAGTGAGGGACCCCTCTCTTTCTTCCCACACATCCTTTTGGTAGATAAGGCACAGAGAGGGGAAATGACCTGCCCAGGGTCCCACTGCTGGGGTGCGGGTGGGGGTGTTGCTGGGGCTCCTTAATGCCCAGAACCTTGTCAAGTTGGAGTCACTGTCCTTGATGCCCTGCCCAGCAAACAGTAGGCACTCAATAAGTGTGGAACGTCTGAGGCAAGAGGAGACATGGGGGCAAAAGAGAAGGAGGAACCTGGGGATCACTGGAGACCTAGAGCCTCAGTGACCCTGCGGGCCTGTCTTGGTCTGCTCAGAGCTCTGAGGCCTGGGCTGGGGGGTAGCTAATCACTGGCCACTGCCTGAATCACTGCCATTAGGGCAGATAATCACCCCCTGCCCTTCCAGCTGCTTTCATCGGGCTCCCAAGGCTCTCATTAGGCTCACCGGACAAGGACGATGACAAGGGGACTGGCTGGGCCAGTCCATTGGTGGTGGGCACAGGCAGGATGTCTTCAGGCTGGATCTTCTGGGTGGTTTGGGACAGTCGCTGCTTCTCTCTGAGCCTCAGTTTCCCCATCTGGGCAGCAATGGTGGTGACATGGTTGATGGCTCTGTGTCGGGGAGAGGCACTTGGAGCTCTTCTCTCCTTCATTAATTCTGTAGTTATTAATTGGGTACCTATTTTATGCTGTAGTGGGCACAGGGGACATAGCAGTGACCTGGACAGCCCACCTTCATGGGGCTCCCACAGCAGAGAGTAAAGCAGTTAAACAAGTGAACAGCTAATTTGGTAATTTCACAGGAGACCATGTAGGGTGCAAAGAAAATGAAAACAGGGTGATGTACAGGAGATGACTGGGGGGGGCAGCTTTACCAGAGAGGTCTGGGGCCTCTCCAAGGAGGTGGGCTCGAGTTGACTCTCATGTAGAGAGAAGGACCTGGGTGCCTGATAGTGGAGATAGCAGGTACAGAGGTCCCATGTGACATGGGGTGAGCTCCCCATCACCTCAGGCATCCAAGCCCAGACTGAAGACCAGAGGGCAAGGCCTGGACTCCAGAATAGGCCCTGGTACATGGGTCGGTCGAGGGTGTGGGCAGCTGCTCATCCTCTGGGTCCGCCTCACTGGACTGCTCAGAGTGGGGCAAGGCTCCTCTGGGGTCACCCATCTGCCACTTCCCGGGCCTCAGTTTCCCTCTCTGGGAAGTAGGCCCAGTCGGCACCCTCCCACCTGGGGTTGTGGGGTACAGTGCTTGGCCTATGGTTGGGGCTCCAGCAGCAGTGGTGACTATCATGGAGCTGAGCACACCATGCTGCCCCCCCCCCCAGTCCCACCGCCTCCTGCCACGCCTCCCATCCAGAGAGCTCCCGTCACCTCGATGGCCAGGGCGGGAGGCCCGAGCACCGCCTGTGTGGCTGCTGCTAGGGGGTCTACACCTGTTCCGCCTCACGTGTGCCCAGGCAGTCCCCACCTCCTCTGCCTTGGTTTTCTCAACCTTGACCCGCCAGGGACCTCCCTGCTCTGAGCTTCCAACCTGGCTGGGGCTCCTCAGGGCCCAAGAGGCTGGCCCCTCCGGGCTGACGTCATCCCACCTGGCAGGGCCCGTCCTGCCTCAGGTCTTCGCACTGGCTTGAGAGTCCTTCCTGCCCCTCCATCACCCCCCAACCTTGGAGTGCTCTTGGCAGGGCCTCTGTGCTCCCCAGTGTCAGGGCACAAGCCAGGGCCAAGCACACAGTAAGCGCTTGGTGTTACCTGCATGAAGGAGCAAGAGGAAGCGGGGAGCAGGAGCGGTTGGTGGGCTGCAGGCCCTAACCAACCCCACCCCCCCCACCCCCAGGCTTCATTGAGATCCGCTCCGTCCAACCCCACCCCCACCCCCCACCCCCAGGCATCATTGAGATCCTCTCCGTCCAACCCCACCCCCACCCCCCACCCCCAGGCATCATTGAGATCCGCTCCATCCGCGTGGGCGTCGTGGTCCTCAAGGCTGTGCACACGGGCTTCTACGTGGCCATGAACCGCGGAGGCCACCTCTACGGGTCGGTGAGTGCAGCTCGTGGGGCTTCCGGTGGGCGGGTGTCTGGTGGGGGGTGGGGTGTCCGGTGGCCCACCTCACACACCCGACCCCCCCGAAGCGGGTCTACACTGCCCACTGCAGGTTCCAGGAGCGCATCGAGGAGAATGGCTACAACACTTACGCCTCCATCCGCTGGCGCCACCGTGGTCGGCCTATGTTCCTGGCGCTGGATGGGCAGGGGGCCCCGCGGCGTGGGGGCCGGACACAGCGGCACCACCTGTCCACCCACTTCCTGCCTGTCCTGGTCTCCTGAAGTCCCCAGGTCCGCAGCATGCCTGAGCGGCATGCCGTCCAGGACCAGGGGCCGGTGAGCTCAGGCCATGACCAAGCATGTCTGGTCACTCGTCTTTTCCCCAAGCATTCATGGAGTGTCTGCTGTGTGGCGGGCTGGGGACGCTGCTGCAGGACCCCCCCGGACACGGCCTGACCCCCAGGGAGCTCCTGAGTCGGAGGGGAGGTGGACACTGAATTGAGCAGAGGCCACAGGTGTCCAGTCATAAGTGGGGGGTGGGGCACGGAAGCCCCAGCAAGGCCTCACCCGGGGATGGAGCCTGAAGGACATGGCCATGTAGTCACCAAAGGGCTGGGACCTGGCTTAGGCAAAGGCTCTGAGGTGGGAGCCCATTGGGGTGTTTGAGGCAGGGAGGAGGTGGGAGAGTCTGGGGCAAAGTGAGGTCTGACGGCTGGGGAAGAGAGGGAGACATGGACATGCCACGGGGTGACCGGTCCCCGTCCTGGTCCCGGGACCTGGGATGCGCGCGGCAGAGGCGACCTTGTCAGGGCCCCCGAGGAGGGGGTGACCCTGGGTTCCTGGGGGGGGGGGCGGGGAGGCCGGCGTCCTCACGAGGCCCTTACAAGAGGGAGGCAGAGGGTGGGAGTCCGAGATGGGCAGACCCTGCCTTGCTGGCGGTGAGGATGAAGGGGGGGGTCGCGGGCCAGGGAAAGGCCGGAGCCGGGTCTCCCGGGGGCCCCGGGGGAGGAGGAGGGGACACCAGCCTTCCATTCTGTATTTCTGAGCCCAGAACTGTCAGAGAATCGGTGTGTGGTGGTCACAGCGGCCTTAGAACAAACACAAGGGCGCGCGCACACGCGCGCGGGGGGGTCTGAAGCTGCTTGCACTGTAACCGCGGTCAGAGCTCCTGCACTCCCGTGGGGCGGGCAGGGCTGGGAGTGGGAGTGGGTGCCACGTGCAGGCCACGGGGGCCCCGTGCCAGCATCCTCCAGGGGCTCGGTGGACCCGGGGCTGCTGTGGCTGCTGCCCTCCCAGCACCCGAGCCCTCACCGCGAGGCTGAGCCCCAGCGGAAGGAAAAGGGGTGCAGAGCCCAGGTTCAAACCCCAGCCGAACTGGGCCCGGCAGTTCTGCTCAGGTGTCCCACTCCGGGCGAGGTGGGACATTCTGCGTGGGGAGGGCGACAGTCCCTGAGGCGGCGCACGGGCTCCCACCCCTCCCCGCAGCCACCTCCCACTAAAATACAGAGGATGAAGTCAGGGAGCGAGCAGACGGAGGGCGCTCACTGCGGTCGGTGGAGGCAGCTGGTCCCCGTAGGCACGCAAACATGCGTGGTCAGCGGCCCCGCGGACAGGGCTTTTCCGGCGGCTGCGGTCTTCACGCTCAGGGAAGCTCTGGCGTCTTCGGGAGGCGCGGGCTGCCAGCGCGCTCCCGGGACGGGTCTGCGGCCGCGGAGCTGGCTAAGGCCCAAGGAGCCCGACCTCGCGGCCGCACAGCTCGGCCCGCCCCCAGCGCCCGCGCGGAAGGAAAACGCCAACCACCTGCTTCTCTTTCTAAGTAGGTGTATTTTTAAATAGCTTTCAAGATACACATATTTTTTCCTTTAAAAAACGTCTGTCGGAGCAGTTTTGTTCTTGTTTTGCTGGTCATCCTGTGGTCCCGAGCCCCCTGCGCTTGGGTTGGGGGCTGGTGGCCTGTCCAGGCGTCGCGGAGACCCCGGCTAGCGGCTCCACCCGGTCTTTCCACAGATCATGCAGGGCCGCGTGTGAGCTAAAACGTCCATTTATTTCAAAGCAGTAATAATTTAAAATTATAAAAACCTTTCCGCCGTTGACTGTGTGGAGGGTGAGGTTAGAGACAAACGGGTGGGGGAGCGCCCCGGGGGCGCCGTGTGCCCAGGCCCCCCCGCCAGACGCTGTGGGGAGGGCGGAGCTTGCTCCAGCCCGGAGGCGGTGGTCGTCCGAGTCTCTGCCCGCCGCGGGGGGGGGGCACCTCCAGACTCCAGCTCGCGGCGCCCCCCCGCCGTCCCCCCGTCCCCCCCGCAGGGCCTGGTGCGGGCGAGGTCCCGTGCCCAGGCGGGGGGCCGGCCCGAGGCGGGGCGGGGGGCTCAGGAGTTGCCGGCCGGGTTCTCGTTGCTGGGCGAGCTGGAGGAGGAGGACGACGACGACGAGGAGAAGCTCACGCCGGTCAGGCCGGGAGGGTTGGTGGCTGTGTTCTGACCCGTGAGGCTTTTCCGGCACACGGGGCAGCTGTCGTGCTTTGCGGGGACAGAGGGAGGGGCGGTTCAGAGCCCGAGCGCGGGGGCGGGGGGGGGGGTGCTGCGGGGGGCGGGGGAGGGGCACCGGCTCACCTGCTGCAGCCAAGGCACGATGCAGCCGTCGTGAAAGAGGTGACTGCAGGGCAGCTGCCGCACGCGCTCCCCCAGCCCGTAGTCATCCTTGCACACGGGGCACTCCAGCCCGGAGCCTGCGGGACAGGCGCCTGTGACCCCGAGACCCGCGGGGGAGCCTGCCCGCCACCCCCCGCCCGGGAACGCAGGGGCTAAGGCCCCACCCGGCATCCTGGGCGGGCGGGGGGGGGGGACGACGACACTGGACAGTGTCAGGACAGGGGCCAAGAGCCACACACCTACGTGTTCCTCGGTGACGGGGACGGTGGGGAGGGCCTGGATTTTCTCTTTGTCTGCAGGCGGGGGGCCTGTGTTTTCAAACTGATTGAGGAGCTGAAAGACAAGAGGCCAGAGTGCCGGGAGCTCGGTAGGCAGGCGCGGCCCCTCGCCCCGAAGGGCTCTGAAATGCAAGGCTGGGTTACCTGCAAAAGCACCAAGGCTGTGTTTTTCCTTTTCCCCCCCACAAGGCTGAGCCCCACGCTCCTACCCACCCGTCCGCATGTCCAGTCAGGGTCCCCTTGCACCCAGGGCAGCTGCAGCCCCGGGGACAGCACGACCCCTCCCAGCACCACAGGTCCCACCCAGGGGCAGGTCCCTGAGGCCTCCTGTCAGCTAGAGCCAGAGAGCTGGGTCCTGCCGTGGCGAAGCGCACCAGTTCACCCGCAAAAGGCCTCACAAGGGCCGCCAAGTTCATGGTGACCACCCCGTCCCCGGGGCAGCTCAGGAGAATGTGGAGATCCACGTGGGGCACCCCAGCCTCGGGATGGGAGTTATGGAGAGCTGGGGAGCAGGGCATCCACACCAGGGACCCTCTCGGCCTCTGGGAGCAGGGCCCGTCAAGCTCCTCATCCTCAGCAGAAGGAAAGATAGTGACCCCCGTGCCCTCCTCGGGGAGGTGACCCTGTACCTGCGTGATGATGGCATCCAGGCCGTTGGCCCCCCAGGCGTAGTCCATTGGGTTTGAGTGCAGGACACCCCTGCGCAGAGAGGTCTGGGGTTCAAGTGGCGGAGGGGCTGGGCAGGGCGCAAGGGGACCCGCCCACCTACTCACCAGGGGCCCAGGCCCAGGCTGGGGATGCTGGCAGGAGTGATGATACCATTGACCAACTGCTGGATGATCCTGGAACAGAGTGGGAGGCCCAGCCTGTGGTCAGCACCCTCTGAGGCTGGGCACCCCAGAGGAGGAAGCAGAGGAGACACGTGTCCAGCTTCAAAATTCACAGCGTTTAAAGGCCGTGTTTTCAACCAAGATTTGCGAAGACTCAGACATGAGACAGACCCTCACTGATCTCTGGGCCAGGACAGCGCCTGTGAGCGCGAACCACGTCACATCTGCTCCCCATCTTACAACCTGGGGGTGCATCCCGGAGGTCCCCAGCCCTGCCATTCGCAGCGGCCCTGAAACGTGCTGGCTGAGGTCGCGGTGAAGCCAAGGCCTGAGCCTGGGGCAGCCGCTGCAGGGCAGCTCACAGACAGGGGACACCAGGGGCATCAGGGCAGCCCAGACTGAGTCCTTGGCTGGAATCGGACAGGACAGAGCACATCGGGGCTCCCCGTGCATCGAAACCCATCTTAAGAGACACAGGCGCTGCTCTGTGTACGGCCAAGTTCCAGCTACCAAGACGCTGGAGAAGCCTGGCCCTGTCTCCTCTGGGGGTGGGCCCTCTGAGGAACGAACGTTTCCTTTTTACCCCCAGTCCTTCTGAACAAGCCTCAGCTTTCAAGGGAGCCGTCCTGGTGCCAACCCCAGCATGGAGGGAGCTCGGGGCTCTGCTGAGGAGCACGGATGCCAGAAACCCACCCCATCTGCCTGCCGCCCTGGGAGACAAGGACCCAAATGGGAACCAGCCGTGTCTGAGCTGATGGGCATGCGGGCAGGGGGTGCAGGGGAGAGGCAGAGACCCCTCTCAGAAGGACGGGGGTAACTGAGTGGACAAGAGGGCCCCTGGCCCTGTCCAGGTCCCGCCACATCCTCAGGCCCTCGGGGTCCCCCTCTGCACCCCATCAGCATGGTGGGCTCAGGCAAAATCTGCCTGGATGCAACGGGGAACTGCCCTGCCCAGAGGTCAGCCCCAGAACTAGCATCCACCCCCCTCTGTGCACACAGAACCTTCTAGAAGGGCAGATGGTCAGTCTGCCTGAGTCGGGATGGGACAGATTTTAAGACTCCCACCCGCTGGCTATCCCCAGGTGCCTCACCCTTCCAGCGTGGGGACGCCTTCGTGCCGGCCGGTGGCCCGCCGTGCAGTGAGGCGGGCGCGGGGCTGCCGGGCACCATACCGGTGCCGGGAGTGTTGCTCTCTCTCCCGCCGGCTCTCGGGGTCCCTGCCCTCATCGGCCTGCACCCCAGGGGGGAACGTGGGGATCTCGAAGCTGTCGTCAAAGATGCCGAAAGCAAACTGGCCGTAGCCCTGCGGCAGCGTGAACAGGTGCTGGTCCACGTTCTGTGGGGAGGAGGGCCATGATCACGGGCAGGGGCAGGAGCCCTGAGCTGCCACCTGGGTCCTGCCCAGCCCAGCCCCTTGCCTGGACCCCACGTTTCCTCCATGCGCCGAGGGGTGCTGTCCTGGGGTCAAGGCTCTGAGGGATGGGGCCACACCAAGGGGACCTCGGCATGTGCGGGATAAAGGAGGAAGGAGAGGCGCAGCCGTCGAGGGTCAGGCGGGAGGGCCGGCCCTGCAAGGCGCGGGGAGGGGTGGGTAGCTGCCCACAGGAAAGGGGCGCAATCTGGGGCCAGACTCACCTCGAATGGTGGCCTGCTCTGGTCCGTAGGGGCTGTGGAGGGGGCGGACCCATTCTCTGTACTCCTGGGATGACGGGCACAAGTCAGCAGTGGGCGTGTCCCACCAGGACCCAGGGCCACTGTCCCCCTCTGAAACCCTGCCCATGCCCCGGGTCAGGAAGGGGGGGCCATCTCCCCTAACCCCCCTCCACCCACCGTGGCCCATCCAGGCTCTGTCTGCCCCCAGAACTGAACCAGCATTCCATGCAGCACCCCGTGTCCCGGCCACCGCCCACCCCGCACCCCGAGGGGCCTGGTCCAGCCAGCGTGCACCTAGGCTGTGTTACCTGGTCTCTTCTGGAAGCTCCTCAATAAAACCAGACTCGCATCTGGGGCAGATGTAATCCTGCAGAGGAGAGGGCAGGTGAGTGCGATCTTGGGGTCCCTGCCCCCAGGCTGTGCTAGCTGGACACGCCCACAGGACCACAGCCCGCAGCAGAGGATGAGCTCCAGGCACACCTGTGAAACTGCTCAAGCCCAGAGTCAGAGCTGGCAGAGGCCCCGCTGGGTGGCCCTGGGTGGGGCCTGTGCACGGACACCCATCAGCCGTAGCGTCAACCTCTGTGTCTCAACGACTGGAGCCCCCCGGACCTGCTGCCCTGGTGCAGGTGAGGCCCCAGCTCCCAGGTCATCTCCCCACCGTCCCACAGTCCCACAGTCCATCAGCCTATGCTCCTCGGGATGACAGAAGTCATTTCAAGGTCTCCACTCAACCACATCAGCTGTTGAAGGCTGTGACAAGGCCTGTACCAAACGGGCCAGCTGATGTGGGTCCACCGAGCAGTTCCTGACTTTCACAGATGGAGAACATTCTGTGAGTGCGCCCCACGTGCACAAAGAGGCCCCTGCCCCAAGCTCCGGGGCGGGGGGGTCGCATGGGTGACCATGGAGCCCCAGGGCTATGGAGGCCTCAGTAGCTCAAGTCCCAGAAGGGGGCCACAGAGGGTGACAAGCACCATCCAGGCACAGGGACCAGCCTGTGGGTGTCCTGTGGTGGCATTTCTATAACATTCCAGCAGCCCTGGCACAGGGCCTGTGACCCCATCCCCACTGGCCACGCCCCCTCCCACCCCTGGCCCACCAGTGCTGTCCCAACTGGAGAGTGGGCCACTGGCCCCAGGGGAGCCACAGGCACAAGCCCACAGCTGTGGGTCCCAGAGCCACACAACCAGCCACCAGTGCAGGGTCTGCCGCCGCCTGCTGAGTGGGAGAGAAGGTGGGGGGGATGGCTGCTGACAGTCCCAGGGGAGCCACAGGTAGAAGGGCCAGGCCCCTCCCTCCATCAGGGCAGTGGGCGCCACCACAGCACAGGCCACGTCCCCTCACCTTCCCACACGCCGAAAGCAAAGGGGGCCCCAAAGGACACTGTCTGAGCCAAGTGGGGAGCATAGGAAGGAGGTGCATAGGTCGTAAGAACTGGTATCCAAGATGTATAAACGACTCTAACAGCTCCGCAACAAAAACACAAACAACCCAGTGAAAAAATGGCCGAAGAACCAAGAGAGTTCTCCAAAGACACACGGATGGCAGTGAGCTGGAGGACGCTCAGCACCGTCGGGCAGCAGGGAAATGCAAACCAGAGCCTGGAGACACCACCTCACGGCTGCCAGGACGGCCCGATGTGTCAACACACAATGACAAGTGCCGGCGAGGACGTGGAGACCTCAGAACCATCCGCCACGCCAGCGGGGACAGTCACGCAGTTCCTTGAAAAGTTGCACACGGAGTCACCGGACAACCCTGCAATTCCACGGCTGGGTACACGGCCGAGACACGAAAACGCACGTCACACCAAACCCGCAAGTGCACGTCCACAGCGGCCCCACTCACAGCAGCCAAAGGGCGGCGACAGCCCCAGTGTCCGCGGGCAGGTGGATATGGCCACCCACGCAGGGGAGCGTCCCGCGACCGCAAGCAGGAGCCAGGCGCCCTCATGCACGGCGCCGGGGACGGACCCCGAGCCCACGACGCTCAGGGAGGGAACCAGACACAGAAGGCCACGCGGGGTGTGCGTCCATGTGGGTGACACGTCCAGAACAGGCTCATCCGCGGACGGGAAGGGGGCTCATGGGGGTGGGGGTTGCGGGTGGGGTGACGGCTGATGGGGGACGGGGTTTCCTTTGAAGGTGATGGAATGTTCTGGAACTGGATGAGGTGGTGGGTACAGGGCTCCTGAGTGTACAGGAAACGAGGGCACACTGTGAACAGGTGGGTGTATCTCAACAAAGCCACCAGAAGGAGCAGCAAGGACAGCACCCTTTGCCCCTCCGAGTAGGGACGCGGGGGCAACGGGCAGTTCTGCAGCACAGTGAGTGACCAGCCCTCAGCACGTGGGGCGAGGGTTCTCACTGCCTGGTAGAGCCTCTAGGGGAGGGAGGGTTAGGACACGGGCTGATGTGGCTGCAGGTGTCCGTGGTGACCTCGGTTAGGATCCTGGGAATCAAACCACCGCTGGGCATGGCCGTGTCACAGACAATACTGGGTGTCTGCCCAGTATTGCCCTTGGCTCAGGGTGGGCAGGAAGGTCCAGGCTCTCTCTGTATCCTGGTGGAGCCCACCCCACACACACACCTGCCCTACAGATGAGACGGAAATCAGACGTGTGCCTGCCGTCTCCAAGCGGGATGGCGGGGCTGGGGAGGGCCTATGTGAGAAGCTGTCCCTCCCTCTCATCTGAGCATGCCGCCTGTCCCCAGCCAGCCTGGAGGAGCCAGAGCAGGGCTGGTGTGGCAGGTGGCCTCAGCCTGACCTGCTGGCAAACAGGCAACCTTTCCTGCCGTTACTGAGGCTTGCGGCTGCTCCTGAGCATCACCTGGGAGCCCCATCTCACACAGGGCACAAGCTCCTCATTCCACTCTCTGCTCTCCACTCTCCCGTGTGGTCAGCTCAGAACACCCCAGCCTGGCCACTCCCGCTCCCCTGCCCCCATCCAGGCCACCTCCACCTGCCCTCTCTTCTCAGGGCCTGCACACCATCCCCTTTGCCGGAGTGTTCTCCCCCGATAGCTACCTGGCTTGCCCCCTCTCGGAAGTCGGGTCTCTGCTCAAACGTCACCTCCTGGCTGCAAGCCTCGGACTCCCCACCTGTAAATGGAGGACGGCCTCAACCCTAGGGCTCTGAAATCCAGCAGCCACTGGGGACCGGAGGGCTACGGCTCAACGGCTGGCTGTGGTCAGGGCCCTGCCTCTGTGTTCTCTATGAATCCAGGTTGGCCTGTCGGAGCCGTGGCCCCGACACCTAGGAGTTCAGCAGGCTCCACCCTCTGCTTCTAGGCAGTGGGGAAGGGACCAGATCTGGGGGTGTCCCAGTGCTCTCCTCCTCCAAGGGCACACCCCAGAGGTTTCTCTTAAACCCGAGTAGCCAGTAATAGAAAACTGCAGCCAAGCAAGGAGACCCTGGATGGAGTGTCTGCAGCCCACAGGGCAGCGCCTGCCTACCGAGCCTGGGTCCAGGTGGTGGCAGCCCCATGCTCCCAGCCCTCAAGTGTGAGCACCTGTCTCTAATCGATGGCTCCTCATGGTGAATTAGTGACCTCTCCCCCTAGGAGGGAGGGAGGGGACCACCCCAGCATCATCACCAACAGTGGTGGCCAGAGCACCGAGGACAGGATGGACAGACGCTCAATTCACTGAGCGCTCGCTCCTTGTGCTCAGCCCCCATGATGCGCCTAGGTGGTGCGACTCAGCCCTCCTCAGTGACAGGGAGGTCAGCTGGGATGGCCCTCAGGAACAGGCACCAGCCCTCATTCATGCGCTCCTTCACACCATGGCCAGGCAAGTACGGTTACATCGGGGAAACTTCGGCAGGAGTCAGAGAGGTGGCTGGCCCCACAGGATGGTCTGCTCTATGGTGACGCTGGGCTCTGTAGGCCCAGGCCCGTCAGGGCCCCTCCAGAGGAGGCAGAGCTCCAAGTGCAGTGCAGACATCGGAGGGACAGGGACTCAGGCCCAAACACAGACACGATGGGACTCCCACACCCCTGCAGCCCCCTGCTCACCAGCCCACGAACCCCAGGAGCACACTTGCTGCCCCACACAGCCGTTCTCAGCTGTCATTGGGCAGAGGGACCTGCCCAGACCCCATGGGAAAGCCGACCCTGCCCCTCACCACCCCCCAGCCCCCCTGCACTTTATTCTTGGGGTCTTAGCAGCAGCCACCACATCCCACGTTCACACCCCATCTGTCCCCCGAGCATCTCTGAGCATCATGCACACTGCTGAGTGCCGGGGTGCAGAGCCACACCAGGACCTGGCAGTGTGTGAGGCCCGCTGTGAGCCAGAGATGTGCACACACACAGCCCAGCACTCGTTTCCACCCAGGGGTATCCGATCCCACCTTCCTTGATCTTCCCAGGGTGCTTCTGACACCACTGCTAGCCGGGACCCCATAGGACAGGACACATGTGCCCACTATACTGGGGGCTCCCCCTCACTTCAGCCTGCCACATGGCTCAGAGGCCTGGGGTTCCCTAGGGCATGGCTCAGCCCAGCATTCAGCCACCTCTTTGGGGCTCAGCCTGCTTCCGCCCCTACTGACTGACTTCAGACCCTGAGCAAACACCAGCCCTCTTTGGAGCACCCACTGTGTGGGGCTGCAGGGTGGGGTCCATGTTCCCCGGGGTGGGGGTGGGGCAGCTCACACATCGAGGCTCCCTAGGCACCCCTGGTGCCCGATCTCAACTCCATGCTCTGCACTTCCAGCGAACCACCGGAGTCAGTTCCACACTTAACCTCCCCAGGGCCCCGGTTTCTGCAGCTGCAAACGGACGGCTCACCACGGGGCAGGGCCTCCCTGCCACAAGCAGGGCCCAGTACGGCACACAGCACATGGCCACACAGGGCTGTCCGGTGGCCAGAGGGTCCAGAACGAGGCCACATGGTGTCTGGGAGGCAGGCCCAGCCCCATGGAGGGCTCCGTGGAGAGGACTCCACTCATTCTGCTGAAAACTGAGGGCCAGGACTTCTCCAGACCCCTCTAGGAGCAAGGGCAGCGGACGCGTGAAGAGCGCGAGGGCAGGCCGGTTCTCTTCACCCCAGCACCCCTCCAGGCCTAGTCTCTGTTCAACCGTGCACTCAGGACATTTCTGAGAAGGAAAGCAGTCACCATCAATGAGACGACCGGCGGAAAGAGGGCCATCGAAGGCGCAACAAGGAGCTCAGGGCGTGAGGACCCCAGACTTCCACCTGCTCCATCCACCTGGTGGGACCCTGCACCTCCTGGCAAGCCCTGCGGACGCCAAGCACAGCCGGGCTCTGACCATGAACGCTCTGCTTCCACAGACCCACAGTCACGCCACCCAAACCAGCAGCACGTCCACCGCATCCCGAGCGCTGCCGTTTCCCGGGAAGGATCGAGTCTGGGCTTGTGCGCCAGCGGGCCTGTCTGGCTCCTGCTCCCACATGCCCTGCCCCAGCTAGGCCGCAAGCCTGTCCCTGTGCGTCCTGCAGGTCAGGTGCTGGGCTCCTTCACACACACACACACACACATGCTCCCACTGGACCCCACTGAGTGGGCACGGGTTAGCTCCTCAAACCCATCTTGCAGGTGGGGAAACTGAGGTTCAGGGACGTTGAGCGCCTCGCCCAGAGCCACATGGCGGAGACGTGGCACAGCTGGGTGCGACCTCAGCCTGATCCTGCAGAGAAGCCCCCGAAAGCAGGTACTGTCTAGGGTCTTTGGAGGGACCACCGCAATGACAAAAATCTACGGTAGGAACTGCACACAAGCCAGCCCCAAAGCCCTGCAGCACACTAACACCGGCACCACCTTCCCATGAACAGAACACGCCGCCCCGGGGGCTAGGACCTTCCACCGCTACCAGGTTAGCTGAGGGTGCGTGGCCGGCCCCACACCACCAGGTGTGCCCCTTACTGATAAACAGTCACCCGTCTACCGCGCCTCGTGGACTCCTACTCCAAACCCACAAGCAGGGACACTCTTTACTGTTACTTGCTTTTACAGAATTTACCAGCACTCCCAACTAAATATTTGCCATCACTTACTCAACACTGGCTCCCTGACCAGCCTATAAACTCTGAGGACAAAAGTCAAGGATACCTTGACGCCCCTGGATTCTGTGCTTAGGAAGGTCCTCACCAGCCTGGCGACAACTGCAAGAGGTCAGGGTCCTCCAGGTCCAAGGCCACACAGCCAGGAAGCGGCCACACCTGGCCAGAACCCAGGCCCTGTGCTGGCCCCAGGAAGAGGCCCAGAGCAGACAGCCGTGCAGACTGCCCAGCCCCACCACAAAGCAGGCCACTCTGGGGGAAGCCCGAGACCCAGGGCCTGTTGCGGGGCTCATACCAGCTGCAAGGGGCTGTATGCAATTAATCTACGCTGGTGAGCTGTCAGGGGACCAGCCCCTTCCTGCCATGGTCGAAAAAGGTTCCGAGCTGGGGCTGCAGAAAGCCGGAAGAGGCAGAAGCAGGACTTCCGGGAGGGAGGCTGAGTGGGGCAAGTCTCAGCTCCCGCAGCAGGTGCTCACACATCTGAGGTTTCATTTTGTTTTTCCCTTCTCCTGAGGAGGAAGGAGCCCTTTGCCTCTGGAAGCCACACCTCCCTACCTTTCCTGGCCTCCTGGGCCGAGACACCGCTCTCTGCTCCACACCCCGACTTTAGCCCACTTTCCTTCTCTGTGGCTGGGATGATGCCGAAAGACTCCTTCCCCGGCCCCCTCCTGGCCCCTCTTCCCAGGGGTCCCCACAGCTGGAAAGGCAGATCCGAGTCTGGCTCTGATACCGGAACAGCCTCCATCCACCATCCAACATCCACTAGCCAGACGACTGTGGGGAGCATGCCACCCGGAGATAATGTACAAGGAGAGCACCTAGAAGGTGTTCAATAAGTCCTCACCGCCTGCAGCCCCTTCACCGAGGCCGCGGAGGGTTCCCAACCCCACACCTCCCTCTTCCTGTCCCGCCTGAGCTGGCCCAGTAGCAAACGTCAGGACCACGGCTGGCCTGAGCTTCCCGGGGTTTCAGATTTTGCACCTGTAAGGCTGGAGAGGGTCGGATGGGACCACGGCTTTCCCTTCCGGCCTGGGGCAGGGAAACACGGGTCCCACCCTGGACCTCCGGGATGAGGAGCCTGGAAAACCGTAACCTTTAACAAGCGGCCCCCTCCCGCACCACCCGGTTTGAGACACGTTGGCCCTAAATGAGCAGAAAGCAACACCTGGCCACAGGCTGGCCTCACCGCACCCCCACCCCCCAACTCCAGGGAAGCTCAAATACGCAGGCCCGGGTCACAAAGATCTGCCCGGGGCAGCTGTCAGGCCCGGCCCAGGCCCACCGCCTTCTCGTCCCGACCACGGGAAAGCGGGCGGAAGGGCTCCACCGGGCGGCCCGCAGCCAGGCGCCCGCAGCGTCGACCACGCGCTCCGGGAACGGCCCCCCGGTCCCCCCACCTCTCTCCCGCTGGGCGGCGTGCCGAGCGCAGGTCACGCGGCCTCCGCGGGCCTCAGTTTCCCCATCGGGGACCGAGGCCGCGCATCTGGGGTCATCGGCCTCGCTGCGCCCCCGGGGGCGGCCCCCGCCTCCGGGCCCTCCGCAGAGACCCGGGCCGACGCCGCCCGGGCCTCAGTTTCCTCGTCGGAGCCAGCTCGCCTCAGGCCGAGGGAGAGAGCTCCCGCCCGCCGCCCCGGCCAGGGCCTCACCGGCAGGCGCGGCACGATCTCGACCGAGCAGCAGTGGCAGAAGTACCGTCCGGGCTGCGGCGACGCCTCGGCCATGGCCACTGCCGCCTCCTCCGCGCCGCCCGCCCCCCGCGCGGCACCCGCCGCCGGCCGTTTGCTGCTCCCTTGCCGGCCGACGCGCCCGCGCACGCTCACGCAAAGCACGCAAGGCACGCACGGCGTGGGGTGGAGAGCGCGCGGGAGCGAGGCAGGCGGCGCGCGCGGCAGGCCCCGGCCCGGACGACGGTGGTCGCCGAGGGACAAACTCGGCGCGGCCGCCTCTCGCTGGGACTCCGGGCAGGGGGGCGGGGCCAAGCCTGGACGACCAAGGGCGGGGGACCTAGGAGGGGCGGAGCCTATCTCCTTGGCAACCGGTTCGGGGAGCGGGGGTGTGGCTGGGGGCGAGGCCCGGCTCCTAGCTGCGAGGAGGCCGGGGGGCGGGGCCTGCCTGGGGTGGGGTCGAGCCCCTCCTCTTCTCCAAAATAGGCAAAAGCTTCCACTTCCCTCACTGTATCTCCCACCTCAAGTACCACCGTTCCGTTCCATCCCCTCCCTGTTCTGGCTGGTGCGAGGCACCGGGCGCGCTCTCACCTCCGGGCCTTTGCACTGGCTGTGCCCCTGCCGGGTGCACCCCAGACACCTGGGTGCCTGCCCTCGCTTTTCTCCAGTCTTTGCTCAAATGTCTCCCCTACTGAGATGCCCTTCTCAATATTTCCACCTGATAAACGGTAGGGTCGGCCCCACAGGAGAAGGGATGTTTGTATCTCGTTCCCAGCTGGACTCAGGACAACGCCTGGTACATAGGTATTCCATAAACCCTCGTTCAATGAATGCAGAGGAGAGACCCATTCCGGGGTCGAAGGAGGGCTGCCCTCTGTGCCATGGGAGAAGTGAGTCTGAGGCCTGCTGGGCGTGGCCTTGTTTCTGAGAACGAAGGAAGCCTAACCTCCCCCCCATCCCACAAAATTAATCAGCAGAAAATTCGTTATCACCCAGCACAGGCCAGGATCAATTCTGAGGTTAATTCCAGCCCAATCACGCATTTATTTATTTATCCACTCAACAAGACGTTCATTGAGCACCGGTTGCATACCAGACCTTGTGATGGGTGCAAGGACACAACGTGGAAAACAACTCAACGGGCAGTGAAAATGGCTCCGTGGCTCGGGGAGACACCCCAGCCCCATGAGATTGAGCCAGGGGATGTGTCCCTAGGGTGGTGCCGGCTCTGCCTGGGGAGACAGACCGACGGTTTCCTAGGGGAAGGGGCATTTGAGCCAGGGCTTTGAGGACTGAATAGAAGTAGGTTGGAGTTGGGTTTCCCACAAAAGGGGGCATTGGAACCAGAGTGCCAAGCAATTAAAAATTGGAGCCTATATATAAAAGATCTTGAATGTCAAGAGGCTAGGGACAAGGACTTGTCTGCCAGCCAGTCTTGTCCCCCTTAAGGTTCAGGGGTGATTCCAAGCCGTTCCTGCTCTGGAATGGAGAGCATGCTGGTCCCATCACTGGGAATCCAGGAAACCCCAGGTCCAAGGAAGGGCAGTTTGCCTCAGGCCTCTCATGCCCAGCGCCTTGCTCATTTCACACCACAAACATGTCCATGCTTTCATTCTGCAGAAGTTCATGAGGTATCGCCCAAGAGGCCTGTGTTCAAGCCCCACCAAGCCTTGCTGGCTGTGTGTCACTTAATTCTCTGTACAGATGGCAGAACCTGCCTCCCAGAGTTTTGGGACTGGATGAGGCTTGGAGCACACATGGGTGTGCTCACCGGACCCTGCTGCCTGCCCTAAGTTCATCTGCCCCTCGCCCACCCTTCCCCCAACCCAGCCTCACTGGCTCCCTTGGGTGGGCCAAGCTGCAGCTAACCTCAGGACCCTTGTCTGGTCACGCCCTCTGCTGGGAGTGCCCTTCCCACTGTCCCTTCTCTTTCCCTGCTTCTCAGGAGGCTGCCTCAATCCCTTCCTGAGGGAGTCCCCTCCCATACTGCATCCTGATGCCCAGCACCCTCTTTCCTTCTCCTACAGCCATCCCTAAATCCAGGAGTTATCAATGGCATCGCCTAAAACATGAGACCAGTACTCAGCCTATAGTCAGTGTCCCATAGATTCTTGAATATATGAATAATTAGTGAGACCCTGGGGCGTCTGGGTGGCTCAGTTCGTTAAGCGTCTGCCTTCGGCTCAGGTCATGATCCCAGGGTCCTGGGATGGAGCCCCACGGAGCAGGGAGCTTACTTCTCCCTGTCCCACTCCCCCTGCTTGTGTTCTCTCTCTCGCTGTGTCTCCCTCTGTCAAATAAATAAATAAAATCTTTAAAAAAAAAAAAAAGATATTAAAAAAAAAATAGGGAGTCCCTGCTGGGTGCCGGCCCCAGGCAGGGCTCTGGGAATGCAGTAGGAACAAGAAACCAGGGTTTTGTATATTGTAAAACTAAGAGCTCAGTATGGGCCTGAAGTTGAATCTTCCTGCCAGCACCATGATGTGAAGACAACTGAGTCCCCATTTTACAGCTGGGGAGACTGAGGGCGCACACAAGGTCATGCAGCAAGGCCAGGACTCGAGCCCGGGGCCATTGGGCCTCTGTGTCCTCTGTGTGGGCCCTTGCCTGCTGGCCACCCTGGGGCTGGGCATCGGAACGCCAGCACTCAGGCCGTGTCTGCATATAACCCAGTGGCTCTGGGGTTCTGGGGCCCTCAGGCACCCATTCGTGGCCAGGGCCCTGCACAATAAAACACAGGTGGCTCCTGATGGGTTTCCCAGCATTTCCTTGAAAAGGCTTTGATAGTGGATTATGGAGGTAGGGTGGCACCTGGCCCCTACAGATTCCCCCCCAGGACAGGACCATGCCTCCCCCTCAGACTTCCTACAACACGGTTGTGCTCCCCTCTTATTAGACACTACAGGACAAGGACAGACAGCCCCTCCGAGACGGTCTTCCATCTGTAAAATGGGTCTCCCTCCTGCCTCCCAGGGCGGCTGCCTCTGTAAATGGTAGCTGTCTAGTCACCAGACCTTTGTGTGTGCCTTCCCCTCTGCCTAGAGCATCCTTTCCTTCCGCTGCCACCATGCTGAGTCAGGAGCCTCGTGGGCAGAGGGGAAGTTGCCCTGACAGTCAGCCTACACCCATCTGAGCTTCCCCCCTGGGCAGGTGACTCCTGCTCTTGCTAGGTTTCCTTGCCTGTGGCCCAGGGTCACAATAGTGAGGAGGATTCAGGAGGTGAAGCCTCTCCTAATCCTCTGCCAGGTTCAGCCTTTTTTTCTGGCGTTGTAGTGTGTTTTGATTTCGATTTTGGGCGAGTGACCATGTTCACACTTCTTTTCTAGCTCATTTATTTTTCCAGGTGAATGTTAGGACCTTGTCTCAGGTGGGACAATTCCATGGAGATTATAACTGAAACTGCATTCAACTAAGTGAGCTGGTAGCATTAAGTGCCCTGTCCTGGCCCAGATGGCCAGGTGTGCGCTCATCTACTCACCTACTCAGGTTCACATCAAGCCTCAGGAAGGGGTCTTGGAGAGCTTTGGGGCCGGAGAAAGCAATTACCCATGTTGCAGGCAAGAGACTGAGGCACTCAGCAGGTAGGGCACTGCCCCACTGGGCAATATTCCTACAGGGGAACAGTCTACTTATGCAGGTTTGGGGTTTTGTTTTTTTTTAATCTTATTTGTATATTTTGAGTTATGCCTTTTTCCCCTTTTTATGTATAGCTGTTGGTTCATATTTTTTAAAATTTCTATTTTTTCATTTTATTCATACACACCCAGGTGTATCTCCAAAAGCAGGCTACTCCTTTAACCCTAACCAACAGCACTTTACCACACAACGGGGTCATCAGTAGCAAAGACACAGAGCCGAGGTCAATCTGCAGCCTCAGCCACGTTGGCTGCTCATCTCCATGGTTTCTTCGTCTTCGTTCCGCATCCCGCTGTGTTGTCAGTTCTTCCCCCTGGGACATTCCTTGGCCGTGACCTTGACACACTGGCACGGGCTCGAGTCAGGCCAACGGAGTGCTCATGCCTCCTCTTCCCGTTCACAGTCCCGTCCCCGAAGCAAACACAGAGGATGGGCCGGGAGGATGAATGGATGCACGAAGGGACGAGGTCCCCCGCTGCGCGAGTTAGGGGTAACGGGAAAAGCCCCGATGGGGGACAGCGTGGCGGACGGCAGCGCGCTGTCCCGTCCCAGGGGAGACCAAACCCCGCGGGACCTCGCTGTGCTGAGCCGGCCGATAAATAACCAACGAAAAAGGGCAGCGGCCACGGACTTGTGCTCACGTCACACCGGGAACTGTGCCCAGCCACCTTGGCGGGAATGTCTCGACTGTCCCCATTTCCCGGGAGGCGCAGGGTGGCAGCTTCCGGGCCGGGAAGGGGGTCCCCCCACCCCCGCTCCCCGGGCAGCTGCGGGGCCAGCAGCGGCGGGTTGCCCGAGGGCCAGCCGCGGGGACACGGCCGCGCGCAGCAGCGCGTGTCCGCACGGCCGGCCGGCCGCCCGCGCGCCCGCGCTGAGCACTGCGACCCCCGACACACCTGCTGCCGGCGGCTGAGCCCACCACAGGCTCCGGATCTCCAGCACTGCGAGCTAACCATCTGTGCGGCCGGACGGACTGGCCCTAATTTGTTAGAGCAGCAAACTGGAAACTAATACCTCCAGCTCTCGCCGGTCACATGCACGCTTGCTCTGCCCGGCCAGGTCTCCCAGGCCCCACCCCAGCAGGCTAGCTCTCCAACCATTGGCCGGGGCTAGGTCACATGGCCGCATCTAAGCCAATGGCCAGCGAGAGGAGCGGCCGACATTACGTAGGTCCTGTTCGGCCTATCAACATTCACCTCTGGGCTGGGGGTGGGCCCTACCTTCAGTGGCAAATAATACTGCCCGCTTCCTGCACAAAATCTGTTCCCTTTGCAGGGGAGGGGATGGGGTAGGGGCCCTTGGATGGCGTGGAAGAGTTGCCGCGGGAATGGGCTTGGATTGGGCAGGAAGGGCCTGGAACCCAGGCTAAAAAGCCAGGACTTTGTCTAGGGGCCATGGGGAGCCACGGGTGGCGTTTGAGAGGGGAGGGCAATCCCATGAAGGCGTTATGAGGCCCAGCTCTGATCAGGGTTCTGCCATAGCATCCACCACGCCCGAGTCTTCAGTTGCTGCCTTGGCTATCGGCA